TATTAAGCCTATATAAAACACTATAAAATTGACATAATTATGGTTGGACCTATGATAATACTAATTCTTCACTCAGTGTTATTGACAAATAGCAGGAACTTCTTCATATATATCTGAGGGTGCCCCATGAATGTACTCGGATTAATATCTTATTAAGGCACGTGTAGCTAATTCAATCAGATATATTTTGCTTTTCAAGCACTCATCTACCTTTAAGACTTTTAAAGTCATCATTAAAATCTGACATTAATTTATCTTCAAGTTTGCTGACTCCTATCATTTCCATTTTTCTGCTGCCCATCTAGTGGTTTTTATTTTAATATCAGATGGTGTACTTTTTGCTGTAAAATTTCCATGTGATTCTTTTTATAATTTGTTTCTCTGCTGAGAACTTTTATCTTTCCATTCAGTTCAAGTGCATTTACCTCATGAAGCATAATTATAATAGCTACATTTACAGCTGATAATTCCAACATCTGGGTAATCTGGAGGCTGGCATCTCTTGACATTTTTTTCTTTAGAAAAAATATTCTTGGTTCTTCCTAGTTATATAATTTTGCATATTGGGTTATACCAACTCTGGATCTTGTTGGAACTTGGGGGAAAACATTTTATTTGTTTTTGTTTGTTTGTTTAGTTAAACAGGCAATCAACCCAATTAGGCTCAGATTGCATATTCTGTCTCACCTGTTGAGAGTGGTGGTTCCGATCTCAGTTTCATTTTCAAAGACTTTGCTATGGTGCCTTGGGTCCGTCCTGTGCATGCCAGCTCAGGAGTGAGCCCAGGATGTGTGGAATGTCATACACAGAATTAGAAGATTTTCCAACTGTCAGGATTTCTCTCAGCATCTCTTCAAGATTTTCCCACTTTCCCCAACCCCATGCTCTCTGGCTCAAAGGAGACTCTTTTTCTGGTTCCTCTGGCCAGAAAGCTGGATTTCTCTGAATTTTACCTAGTCATGTCTCCAGTGCCGTGCAGCTCCACAAGTGGGGCCCACCCTTAAGGCAAAAGCTGTAAGAGAAAAGAGAAAAAAATGGGAAACATCCTCATACAGGTTGCTTTTCCAAGTTTTGACACTCCTTCACAATATACCTGCCTTTGTTTACTTTTCAGAGTTCTTAGGTACTTGATTTTCACATTTGCTCCAGAGGTTTTTAGTTGTCGTTAGCAAGACAGACAGACTTGAGTCGTTTTGGCCCACCTCAGCTGGAACCAGAAGTTTCCCTGCCTACTTCTCCAAATGTTTATCTTCCACCACTCTCCCTGGTCACTTACTCTACACCAGCCTTTCTCTTCTTAACAGGCTCCTAAATGGCCAAGTTTGCACCTACAGCAAGCCATGCTACTTGCTCTTCCCTCTATGTAAAATCGGTTTCCCCACTCTAAAATGTAAACTCTATGAACTTTTCTGACTTCTACACTACCGTAATTCCAGCTGAACACGGAAAGCATGCAACACATACTTGTCGGATGGCTGGTTGGCCTGCTTAACTGAGAACCAATTACTTTGAACAGTCCGGGTATTCTAGTTCAAGCAAAAATAAAGTAAAAGTTTATTGAATTGATTTAATAATAAACTAGTAAATAAAAGAGCTCTCATTCTGAGTCTTGATATGAAAATGTGTGCCAACATCTTACCATCTTACCTGTCAAGAAGTTTGCAAGATACAGAGTTTTCTTTTTCTCTTTTATGGCTCAAACAATTAAGTATTTCTCTTTGCAATTCATTTTGCATGACTTATACCTGGTACTGAGGTTTGCTTTTCTTCTGTCAGTAATAAAGAATATCTGTATGACTTCATTACGCATTAGTTGTTTAAGCTTTGGGTTTTGTTCACTTTGTAAATTTGATTCTGTTTAACAGGTAGCAGACTGCCCTGTTCATACCCAGTTCTACTTACTAGTTGTCAGACTTGGGAAATGAACGTACTCTGACCTTCAGTTTTTGTGCAGAAAATGAGATACAACTACCTACCTTGAAGGGTGGGTAAAGCATGTGAAATATCTACCACAGTGTCTGGCACATACTTCAGACTCAAAAGAATATTATTTTCCTATCCCTCTACCAGCTCTGCAGTACTAAGAGTTAGTTTGAGCTCTCCCATGCTTTTCTTTCTGCTTTCCCTTCTTTTCTTACTTCACCTTCCTCTCTCTCTCTGTGCTATTTTATTTTAGTCTCTAGGTACCTGACATCACAGAATTCCCATGAATTTTAAATACGTGTCTTCAGGTTTTCTGAGGTAGAACTGTGTTTAATTTTAGTGATATTTTTGTTTTAACCTTATTGGATTTTTTTATAGAAACAAAGGCTTAAGTCTTCTCCAAGGACAGCTAAACACATTAAACGATGTCTGCCGAGTCTGGCAAAAGGGACATTTTACCTCATACCTACTATTTTACCAAAGACTAAAACTCATTTTCTCTTTCAAATGTTCATTTAATATACAATACTAATAGTCATAACAAGCCCATGCATTATTCATATGAATTGCGATGGCTGTACACGGTAAACAAAATATTAGCTATTTAATTACTTAAGGAACGCTTGTGGTTCCCTTGTTGAGGATAACCATGTAAAATGTTTTCCTGCCAAAGACGTCTTCATGGAAATATTGAATAAAACTGAGAAGTTTGCTAATTTTCATATCGATGAAATTTAAATACATTTCTCTTCCTTATAGTAAGGATTAGAAAACTAGGAAATGTCTAATTTCAAAAGCATGATTATAACGGAAAAGGGAAGCATAAACATAAGCATAGGTAGTATTGTCATACTTAAAAAATTTTTTACAGATTATATTTTTGGTGAGTTTCACAATATCCACAGGTCATATTTACCTGTAAATATATCAAATAGAAAAACATAACTAACTCAATTTTTCCCAAGTCTCAGCTGTTTCAAGAAGAGTAAACACTGCGGTGAAAACGTGGCTTATTTCCCTGAAAATTAGGTTGACGGCTTATTTATCAATGCTTAAAGAAGCAATTCACAATAATATTGGAATGTATGGATTTTCAAATTCCAGTGAGGTAGGTTCAGGAGATATTCCCAGTAAGCGAAGTTTAACCCTTAGGCCAAGACCAATGGATACAAGTAATATTTTTTCCTAAACTGACTTGGCAATTCTTCTCACGTTAGGGAAACCCAGTCAGCTACCTTAAATTCTTTCCAAAGCAAAGTAAAATGTATTAAAAAAAAAAAGCCTTGGACTCAGAATAAAAACAAAATGCAAAACTCTCAAGGAAATGTCTTTTAAACCACTTATAATGCTATTTTCTAAAAAGCTGAAGTTAACATTTTCTTTCAAAATTTTATGTCCAATTATACATACCTGCCCTGATAGGAAGAAGAAACTGATCAATAGCAAATACAATAATAAATATTCCTGATAAGTAGTTGCAAATTTCTACTGTATCAACTTAATTATACTATTTTCCCTTGATCACAAAGTTAAACTTCTTGGATCTTGAAATGGGGTAGGAGAAGAGTGTGTGGGGGGGGTGTCCCTCTTCGTGAACAAATATTTCTTTTACTATTTAGATATTTATACATTTCCACAGGTTTTTGCTCAAGTTAAGAATATAAAGAACTAGGCCATAAATTTCACCTTTTGTTTCTTGAGGTAACTCAAAATTTACAACTTGTTTCCCATCAATAAATCATAAGTGACATTTCCTTTCAGCTTTACAGTAGTGTCTAAGGCCATAACAGAACTTTAACTTCTACTGAAGTGATATCAAATATTGCCAAAGTACAATCACACACATTTAGTAAGATTTTAAGAAATTTAAAAATGAACTCAACTCTGAAAATGAAGAGAAACAGATTGTTTATATAGATTTGGCCAAACCAATTTAGAAAATAAAGTAACTTAGAACATTGTGACTATTTTGAGTGGTATTCTTAAAAATTCTATCTAGATACACCAATAATGATCTTAAAAACTCAAGAATTAATATAGAGTTGTAAAAGGTGAGAATAAAATTTTATAGAGGATAATGAGTGCAACTTGCTGATCCTTTTAGGATGAAAAGTTCTAACTACTGTTTCAGGGGGTCTGTTCAATTCTCACCTTCCCAGTGAGGCCTATTCTGGACTTACCCTATTCAACACTGCAATCTCTCTACCTCTGCGTACCTGGTCTTCCTTACCCTGTTCCACATTTTCCCCCCATAGCATTTATTAACTTACATATGGTATGTTGATTGTCCATTACCTATTATTCCTTGCTAGAATGTGAGATCCATGAAGACAGGAATCCACTGTTCACCCATTTGTATCCCAAGCATCTATAACAGTGCCTGACATATATCAAGTGCTCAATAACTATTGAGTGACTTGCAGTTTAGTTTCCTTATTGCATCACGTTGTTTAAAGATGTCACTTTCTGTTTTGCTTTATTCTTAACTCCTTCCTTGCTCAAGAGAGCCTTCCCTGATCCTTCCAAAGCATAAGTCAGAATGTAATTAATTATGCTATGGTAACAAGTTGTCCCAAAATCTCAGTTTACGTCAATATGTTTACTTCTTGCTCATGCTAATATCTAACACATTCAATGTAGGGAGAGAATCTGAGGTAGTTTTGCTCATATAGTCACTCAAGACCCAAGCTGACAGAGTTGCACGATCTGGAACATGTCATGTACTCGGTCACTGTAGTAGAGAGAAGCCTAAGGATTGTACAAGGGATTTTATTTACAATGCCTTTCCTTGGAAGTGTCACATCACTTTCAGTGCTATTTTGTTGGAATAAACTAGTTACAATGGCCCCATCTAACTTCAAAGGGGTGAAAATTTAGAGGAGCATATGGAATGTTTGGTAATCATTACAGTATCACATATTATAACTTTTTAAATAAGGTCTATTTCCTCTACTAGAGTGGAAATTCCTCAAGGGCAAGAGAGGGTGTCGTTTTGATCTCTAATGTATTCCAAACATCTGTTATATATAGTGGGGACTTGATAAATACTTGTCAAATAAAAAGTTTAAAACCAAATATTAAAAATAATTAACCTTTTTAATTTTTTAAAGAAAAAATACTCTCCATAATAAAGCATTTGTTTTTACGTCCATCAGTAGCCAAATGGAATTTGATATAAACATTTCCAATATACCAACTTTGGATAAATGCACAACTTAGAAAATAACTCAATAATGCATGCATCAAGATGCTACCAACAAATTCATTAACATCCAAGATTCATTACTGTATGTCAAAGGTCATCCAGGGTTAACATTATTTTCATTACGATGAACTGTAAAATTCCAGTGAGAACTGTTTGCCTGAATCAAACTATTTAATCTCTAAAATCGGAACCTAGCACTCTCACCACCCATCCAGACCTCCCTACACTCACACACATGCACACACACTTAAAAACTGCCCATGAAGGCATTATAATGGAAAAAGAAAATAGAAACTGAATGAGCATTTGTAAACGTGGGATATCATTTAGACAACTGTATAAAGTAGGCAGAAAATCCTAAAAGTGTACATAAATAAAAGCCAATAAATGATAAGCTACAGAAAGCCACATCTAAACATTTTAAGATAATCTCACTACAGTAAACAGATTTGACAAACTGAAACACTAGAGCCATGACTAGAGGCCTTGCTCCATTCCAGCACAAACAAAATCTCTAACCATTTTAAGAACAGATGAGAATCCACATGCAACAAAGGAGATATAAATTACTTTTAATTAAAAAAATGAAAAATATAAATCCTTGTTAAACACTTCATTTAAAAATATGCAGCTTTATTTTAAAATGTGGTAATGCTCAAAGATGGCAGTTGACTTCACTCATATATGTAAAAATGTTCATAAAATATCAATACATTGGTTTGTAAGTTATGTACTGCCCTCCAGCTAAACTTTTTTCCACCGAATTCTCAAGTAACTGTTAAAAAAAAGAGATCTATGTTCTAAGCCCACCATTATACTAATCATGGTTAAGTTCCAGAGCTAAAGGTGAACCATTCATGAAATAGTTTTGGATGTGATGGAAGTCTCATGAGCACACAGATGTAAAAACAACTAAGTGATAAACCAGCAGTGGCTTTTTTTCTGTTTTCCAGGTGTTAAACTAATTCACTCTAAATTGAGCAACTGTTTGGGAATTATAAAAAGTGAAAAGCTCACCCTTCTTTTCCAACCTATAAAGAGAAATAGAAAGGTGATGATGAAATTCACTACTAATACAGTGTTTCACACATTCTGACCTAATTCCAAAATACAAACGTTTGAAATGGTTTTTGAAGAGAAATATCTACAATGTTAAGCTTGTCTATGCTAAATAAATGTAACCGTTTTATTTACTTAGACATGTATTATTCTGATGCTAACAATATTTAAACGTCCATGACTGACCCACTGAATTGGAAAGGACTCTCAATAACTGCACATAATCTGCATCTGTAGTGTTAGAAAGAATCCAGTCACTGTTCATTCTCTGATGTAATTTAACATTCTACAAATCCGTGATGGAAATACTAAGCTTAAAGGCCTGGAGAGTATGCCCAGTACAAATTTCATTTTTTGAAGAAAATATATACATGAATATACAGAAAAAAATGATTGTATAGTCACTAAAGCATTAATAATAGCTGTTTCCAGGTGGTGAGATTATCACTGAAGATTTTGTTACGGGAAACTATTCTCAAAAAAGCTAACTTAAGAACCAAAGGGTATTACCACCAATGAAACTATTGTCCTTTACTGACTTTACATAACAAACTTTTAAAGCTACCAACACGTGAATTTGTCAGAATGGCTACATAGTCTGATATATTGTGTCGGCCAAAAAGTTCGTTCGGGTTTTTGGGTAAGATGTTAAATACCCGAACAAACTTTTGGGCCAACCCAATACTTGAAGAAGGAAGATCTCTTAAAAAATGGAAAAATACCAAGATCATGGTCATAAAGGAATAGAGTTGCTCTAAAATTAAAAACAACTGATAATCATTAGGCTTCCTATAGATACATAATTCTATAGGAAAATCGGTCTCTAACATGTCATCTTTAAAAGTTTTAAAATGTTTTCCCTCTATTATCTTTTTTGCTAGTTTTTTAGGTACTTATACCAGTTTAGACTGCATATTTATATTATTTTTTCCATTCACAAACATTTCTCTCTGCACTAGTACCAGCACACTGCTAACCAAAACTTACACTTAAGCCATTTAAGACTAAGTTTTAGATCTGTGGCTAATTATCTGGCAAGAATAAAAGAACAAAAAAGTTTCACATTAGCAGCAAATTGACTAGATTTAAGGGTCTTGATTTTTTGTAAGCCTTTGGAAGCCTGCATGTTAAACACTGGTGATTTTTGTATTCTCAGTGGAAATGGTGATGGCATTCACTTAACCAAGCTAGCCCGAATTAAGAGTTGTGAAAACACGCAATAAAAACAAAATTGTCAGTAAATTCCTATTTTTCAGACATCACCAAGATCATCTTATAAATCAGAATAATTTTAGACTCCAGTATAGTTTTCAACCATACTTACGATACCTAAAAAGAAAAAATGTGTGTACACACACATACTTTTCATACCTCTTTACATTATATATTCACATTTACTTTAAAAAAAGTCACATGGAGAAAATGTAAACCTGAAATAACATTAAATTCTATTGTTACATAAATGATCTGCTTTATTTTCAAAACATTTGTACAAGCTACACTTTCACTTATTACCTTACTATGCTTTGTTGAAAGGATGTGCCTTACTCAGTCTTTAAGCTTTTAAGAATATTAGAAATAACAAGATTAAGTTCAAGTACACAAAGTCCTTTAGACTATTCTGGAATATCAATTTTTAAATGGCACAAGTCACAATGAGTAGATGAAGCTCCCCATATGTTGATGGCATACTACAGAATCATAAAGAATGGAAAAGCCACAAAATTGAAATCTGAGATATCAAATCCATTCTGGGGAATTATCTTCAGACATCTTAGTAAAAAAATATATATGCACAATTTTTCAAAACTCGTGAACTTTTTAGGATTAGCATATTATTTAACGTGCTTGAAACAGGATATTAAGTGTTGACTAAGACACTAAAAAAGCTAAATGCCTCTCTCAAACATGAGTAGACTGATACTCTACTCCCAAACTGACAAGAGCCCATGTTTTTATATAACTGTAGGCTTTGAAGGACAGCAGGGAAAAAAAAAACCAACAAACCTTACAAAAACTTATTAATCACATTTGGCTGCCCATCATTTAAAATGGCAATAAATCTAATCAATTTAAATTATAAATATTAAATATTCTCATTTAATAAAACACCCACACAATGACAAGAATGAGACTTTAATCAGTTTTAAGTGGAGTTTATAACACTAAGAGATAAAGGGTTGTTAACAAACACAATAACAAATGGACATCTGATTGGTATGAGGCATTATCCTGTACACATCGTAATTTTTTGTGTATCCTCAGTGCATAGCATTTACACACAGAGCCACTGCTGCACAGCACAAGAGTATCTGAAGAGGCTGAATCAGAGTAAGGCTGTTTAACAGACTGAAATTTTTTAGTATATATATTCTATATGAAAACAGATTGAACTTTTGAACTGGCAGGGTAGAAGGCAACTCTGCCAAACACTGCAGTTAAAGCCCCCACTTTAGTGCACAGTTCCACCCCTTCCATCTGCATGCATAACACATTAACAGTATTTAAAGGTAAACGAGGCACTTTGTGGCAACCACAGCCATCGTTATGAACATATTGCACAAATTTTCTAGAACTAAACAGTAACTTGTACCCTACTTTTATTTTTTAAAGCTGAAACATTTGATGCTGCCGGTAAACTCCACTTAAGTTTATAACCTGTGCCACAGCAAAGAATGGTGATGCTATTTATTCAACTACCCTTTAATAATTATGGCAAAAAATGTTCAAGAGGAGCTACAGAGGACTTGGGATGGTACAGGGCCCAATTGTAAGCTTTCTTAAAAGTGATGCCTTCAAGTAACTTCAGACATGTAAGCGGCTGCACATCCAAAAAGTCTAAGAAAACATTCCAGAAACTCAAAGAGATTACCTACAGAATGCATTTCAGGCTAATCGTGAATACTGTCATAAATAAAGTTTTAATTAGGACTCAAAAACCTTTCAGTCATAGCAATTCTTGTCAAATTCTATGGGCGTGGTAACTGAAATAAAGGAGAGTAGTATGTATAATATATATTTATATATATATAATATATATAATGCCATTTTTCCATTTCCAATGACTACACCATAAAATGTAAGCAAGGCTTCTCAAAAACACTGAAACATTCAAAATCAAAACCCTCATTCAGACCTTCACATTCCAAAGGAAAAATAATAACAGTGCAAAGCCCATTATAATGTCATTATTTATGACCTGGCCCTCCATGTTACATATTGGAACCATACAAGTTACGCTTTAATATACTGTGCCCAAAACTGTAACAAATAACAGTATTAATAACCATCTTCAAAACATGAATAGTTGATTTTCATTTTAGTCAACAGTTTTCAGCTTTTATGAAAGACAAGGTGACATATAAATTTCAATGATGAGATCTTAGGAATAGGTGTCTCTAACTTTACCAATTTAACTTATGAGCAGTCAATCAATTCTCTATATATCAATGTTTAAATATAAATGTGTAAATCCTAACAGCTTTGTTAAAAATTTTAAAATTTTATTTGTTGAATGAAACTGATGAGGTATGGAAAACATGTCAAGATTATTTACTAAGAATATTTTAGATGAAGTTCTGCCTAATCTATTTACCATCAAACTCTATAAATGCTGCTCTAGTAGGTCCTATGCAATCTGTATTTGTAAATTAACTAGGTCAGACCACAGCTAGTGAACAATTTCAGCACCAATAAGTTATTGAAAATGAGATTTTACACCATTAAGAAATAAATTGGCTGGATGGTCAAATGTTTCAAGGTCAAGGTATCATTTGAAAGATACCAAATTTCTGGGGGAAAAAATTCTTTTTAATCGTATCTTCACATTAACTTTACAATAGTAGTTGTACTCTGCTTAAAATCGTATGCAGTCTGGGCATATCAAATATATGATATTTAAGAAGTGAAACTGAAGCCCTTGTCCTAACTCTAGCACTATGAAGAAATGATTCAACACTGCACATTTAAAAAAATCTATTCTTTCAATAGCAAATTGATAAAAGCATTATGTGGGACAATTTCTACTGAAAAAGTAAATGACATTATTTGTGCAGTGTTGAAAATTTACTGCAACTCTAATTTCCTTTTTAACACAAATAACGTCCTTTTAAATATAAACATTATATGTATTCAGTATTCAAGTAAAATTCCCTAACAGTTAATGACATTTAAAAAATGTGCAAAACTGCAAAACTCATTGTAATGAATGTGTAAGGTCAAAAGGGTGGAACGGCTGACATCTATTGGATTGAATAAGTGCATCATAAATCTTTAAAGGAAAAAAAACCGCTTACTGTAGAATCTCAAATTGAAATTTCCTGTGCAGCATTACAAAACATTTTATATTTAATGAGAAAAAAGAAGCTTTTAGGCAGCACATGAAGCATCCACAGCAGGTATACGATTGAAAACTAATAAAATAAATGTAAGTTGTTGACTGATGTAGGTAATAATAGCATCTGACTTTTAGCACTGGCCTTGATTACACAGGAGATGGAGCAGTCATTACAATTGAGAAAACATATTTAATAAATCATTGTCAATTTTTATAATGTTTCAAGCCCATTCTTTGCCGATAGCCTCCACATTTATATGGTTAAGTCATTGTTGCTGTGTTTCTTATCTATGACCACATTATTTTTATATCCCTTCATTTGTGGATTCTTAAGATGTTGTGGAAGGTTCATTCCTGTACCCCTATACAGATTCACTCCCTCTAGCTGCCTTTTCTAGCACCAATATGCTTAAAAAAAATAAAATGCACAAATAACAAGCAGTGACAGCGGCCAATTCCTCAAATGTCCAGATTAACAACTGTAGCATGCTAAAGAAAGGTGCGTGTAAATAGCTGGAGATGGTATATGGTCCAGAGTCCAGCGTAAAACATATTCCTTTCTGAGCATTCCCTCCATTCCCCTAACCCGAATACATGCATTAGAATGTAGCAAAACCCTTTAGAAACTCCTCTTAGCCAACTGCAAACTTATCTGTTGCCACAAGTGCAAAGGGGTAGGATGTGAACCTGTATATCACAAAGCTCTTTAGCCACTTCAGTTGGTGACAGAACACAAAATGAGAAATTCCTACGTATACACATCAGTCTGTCTCCACTTTTTATAAAACTGGAATAAAATGGGAAAGTGCCATCTTTATTTATCCTAATTGAATTTTAAATGTCCTTTTGACACAAAAAGGTATATACATGACACAGCTACACAACCTTTTTTCAACTGGACAACAAGTGTCAAAACCCTGTGGATGTATAGGGTAAAACAAGATTGGTCAGGAAAAGAGAATTGTTCCTATAACTGGTAATCTGACACAATGTCCTATTGCCATTAAAAAAAAAGGTCCATTTTCAGTTTATTCAAGTTTGTTTTCATGGTGTTTTATCCCTCTTGATAAAAAAAAAAATCAGACTTTTGTAATTTGTGTATGCTGATCTTCATCAAAAGGTTCATTCTCTGGATCAGAGTCAGTGGTGTCAGAATATCTATAATGATCAGGTTCATTGTCACTAACATCTGGTGTTACAGAAGTTGAACTGCTAGCCTCTGGATTTGATGGCTCCTCTACTGTTTTTGTGAAGTACAGCTTCACCTAGAGAAAGAAGAGAAAGTATAAATGGAAAATCCATAAATCTGACTAATCTTAATTTACTTAAAGATACATATTTTTGACAGATTCATTTTTAAGTACTATGACACATGATCTTTAAAGGGCCTTTTATTATGACCCTCTTCTTAAGATTTCCTACACTTTCTTTCTTGGTATATACTGAAAAGAAACTGGGATGTTAATATACTATATTTTTTAATAGGCATGTTACAAGCATTAACTAAATAATTCTGCAAAAGAAATGTATTGAGTTCAATAGTCCACATAATCTATTTTCAATCACAAAATTCAACTCACAAAGAGTTGAGTTCCAAAAGAATGTTTCACTTAACTACTTATCTGAAATTCAATGTATTTTCTGATACAAACAATACTAAAAAATACAGATACTACACTATGTAAAATACTGATTAACAATGATGTTTAGGATTCCATTCGCCCTAAAAACTTCACCGAAAGGGAGTCATAAGAAAGTTAATATCCTACAGTGCTCTTAACAGTGAACCAACAGCCTTATAGGCAGAGCTGAAATAACTGTCAAAACAACTCTAGGGCTTCCCCGGTGGCGCAGTGGTTGGGAGTCTGCCTGCCGATGCAGGGGACACGGGTTCGTGCCCCGGTCCGGGAAGATCCCACATGCCACGGAGCGGCTGGGCCGGTGAGCCATGGCCACTGAACCTGTGCTCCACAACGGGAGAGGCCACAGCAGTGAGAGGTCCGCGTACCACAAACAAAACAAAACAACTCTAAACGGTAGGTATCTATTTTAAAAGAGAGAAAGCTATAGCTCAGAAAGGTTAGGGAACTCGCTAAAGGCCGCGTATCTAATAGGTAGTGGATGTGGGATTTAAATTAGATCTGACTCCAAATCCTTTGATCATTCTATTGTATCTACAGCCCCTCCCCCATGATCCAAGAATCATTATCAATTTTTCTCTTTCTCCTACATCCAATATCCAATCCATCAGTAAATCCTTTTAGTTCTACCTTCAACTGGCCTCCCAGCTTTCATTCTTGCCCCTCTCGAGTCTATATTTTAAAGGAGGGGACAGAGTAAACTTTTAAAGACAAAATTCAGATTACATCTTTCCCGTGCAGAAAACACTCAACATCTTCACACTTGGACTGATGTGCGTTAGTCAAAACAATTTCTTATCTATTGCTCCTCAAATAAACCAAGCTCACTCCTGTCTCAGGGCTTCTGCACCAGCTTTTCCCTCTTTTCCCAGATATTTGTATAGCTCACTCATATGTTTACTTATAACTGAAATAGTTTTTATTTGTAATTACAAATATAAAACCTCTTGCAATATTAAAACAGAAAATAAGAAAGTTAGAGGAAGTCACATTTTAAAAGCTAATAATTGAGTAAAATATAGACAGAGAAAAGAAAGTAAATGGAAACCTACGAATTCTAGAAGACACTACTGAACACTTTAAATATAAGATCTAAAGGCACTTATTATTAGATACATTTTCACTTAAAACAGGTAGCCCCCCCTTTATTTTTATTATTACTAGCAATATTCTTATAAGCTATGATTAGGTCTGCTACATCGTATAAAAATGGAATGAAGAGAGAATTTAAAAAGAGAAAGGAGGAGGGTATGGTGAAAGGAAGAGAGAAAAATGAAGTACAATAAACAACAGGAAAGGGGAAGAAAAAAATGGCAAACCACCATTTGGGAATGTTTACAAGTCAGCTTTTTAACCTGGAGAATTCTCCTCTACAAATATAAATAGAAATATACACATACATATCACATTTAGATAAAAGTAAAATGAACCAAATAATTCCATAATAAGAGGAAGTAGAGTTTTACAAAGAGAAGGAGAGGGGAGGATGATCAGAGGCCTTACAGAGCACATGAGATTGAAGCTAAGGTTAGAATGTGAGGGGCAGCCACGTGAAGGGCAGGGAAAAGCCAAGGGTGGAGAGGTTCGGGGAGAAGGAAAAGAACTGTAAAGACCTGAGGCAGAAGAGTATAGCATTTTGAAGAACTGAAAAGAGACCAGGTCTGAGAGTGAATCGCAGGGAGAGAATGTGGCTAGAGTAGATGCAGAAGGTAGTCCTGTGCTAAATTATGCAGGTTCCTGCAGGTCACATCAAAAAAGCATAAGGTCTTTAAAAAGTATAAACAGGAGTGATGCAATCAAGTCATTTTTAAGATCACTCTAAGGAGTTGAGAATAAACTGGAGGGGACAAGAGTAAAAGCAGTGAGAACATTCCATAGGAGTCATTCCCAAAGGGCTGAGTTCCTTTCCACTTCTTTTTTCACCTATTCCTACTTCATATCCAACTTACTTAAATCCCCTCCCTAACCTATGCCCCAGATTTCACCAACTAACAAAGAATAGGGTAAGGAAACTGTAGCCTTTTGACTCTCTGTGCATTGGATTTCATTGACTTACTGCTAAATAAACAATGCTTATGAATATACGTAATTTAAAAATTAGCCAAGCAAGTCTTTCACCAGCTACACACCTAGAATAAAACAAACACACACACAGAACCACTCACCAACTCCTCAAAATGTTTTTAACTGACCTTAAAATTTGGAGAAAAGTATCGGTTGGCCTTGTCTTTATTTGCTTTGTCGAGATCATTTTTTGTTAAAGTGAGTACTAGATATTCCTTGTCATTATCTGCACGCTCTATACTGCAAATACTATCAATTTCTTGATCACATAGACTTCCATTTTCTACTTTTTCTGAGGTTTCCTCTGGTCCTGGTATGAAGAATGTATTTACCCAAAAGTGAAACATTTTGTCCTAAGAAAAAAAAAGAAAACAGACATAAATTTTTTTTTAAAAAAGACAATGTTACTTATATTCAACATTTGCCCTAAGAAGTGAACAAATTATGCCATGTGTCATTAATATTCTGAATAAAGGTAAACACAAAGACTAATACTGGGCAATCTGTGGGTTATCTGTTGCGTCTAGTTCACATAGGATTTTTCCTTTAATTCAAATCTAGACCAAAAATATAATTCCACAAGCTCTAAAATAAACTTACTTTAATACTTTAAGTAAAATATTTCCTTTCCTAGTCTAACACTAGCTTTTAAAAGTGTTGAGTTTATATGTATATATTAAAAAACCCAGAAATGGATTTAATTTTGTTTCAACAAGCTATTACAAAATTTACTTTACCAAAAGTTCTTAAAATGTCACTACAACTTCCCAAGGAAGCAAGGCAGATACATTTTTACTTCTACAGCAATACAAATGTTAAGTGGCTCCAGTTTCTTGCATGACAATGTATGTTTGAAATTTTTCATAATACAATATGGGGGGGGTAAGAACTTCAACTTTTTGTTGTTATAAAATGCCTATTTTTAAAAAAATCACTTATTAACTAATAATGAGGTCTTGTAAATCAAAAACCACCAACATTACTTCAAACCTTTCTTGACCATTACTTCAAACCTTTCTTTTTTTTTTTTTTTTTGGTATGCAGGCCTCTCACTGTTGTGGCCTCTCCCGTTGCGGAGCACAGCCTCCGGAGGGGCAGACTCAGCGGCCACGGCTCACGGGCCCAGCCGCTCCGCGGCATGTGGGATCTTCCCGGACTGGGGCACGAACCCATGTCCCCTGCATCAGCAGGCAGACTCTCAACCACTGTGCCACCAGGGAAGCCCCTCAAACCTTTCTTGACCAACATAGAAAATGTACTCTTAATTAGTAGAACTGGCCTGTATGCATTATTTGACAATTAATGATGTACAACCCCATGACACCTTATCTGGTGCCTTAAAGTGCCATTTAAATCTTTTATTTTAATTTATCTTCAAGTTTATTTTCCCAGGAAGATGGTAAGACCCTTAAGTAACTTATGTCTTAAATGTCTTTGTATCTTTTAACAGTACCTAGCATAGCAATTTTATATGTGGTAGTCTTTGAAAATATTGTTAATTTCAATCATTTTAGCAAAGTTACTGAGTTAGTAATAACTAGGCACATATTTTACTTAGAGTCAGAAGAAAATAAGCTAGTAGAATTTAAATTTCAAAAAATGTAGATTCTGCTAATGTACTGATTATAGTAAAACTGTTCTTGTTTAAATCAGAACATTTGTAACAGGCAAGGAAAATCACATAAAATGGAAATAAATGTAAAGTAATTCAAGATACACAAATTATTATAAATATCTAACTTAATCTTCAATTTTACATGTGTTAATATAATGTACAGGTGATAAGAACTAGAAGAATAAGAATTAGTACACTCCTAAACATAGAGGGAAAGTGATACAGGTGCCTATTTTTAAAAGCAAAACATAAAATCTTGTGTGTACCAGTCTTACAGTGAATAGAAGGAAAAAACTTACTTACCTTAATTTTAAAACATTTGTTAACACTTCTTGGATTATTGAAAAATATATTTTCAAAGTTACTGAGATATACTTAACTTTTATTTATACAGAACATGTAGGAAATGGGTTTCTGGTGAAAAAAAATCAGTTTTACATTTTGTGATTTTCCAGCTACCTGGATTCTGGATAAAGGAAATTATACTTCTTTTGACAAGTCAAAATAGAGGTTAAAATTTTTGTAGTAAATGAAGCTTCCTCTTATTTTCTCTCAAAAAAAAAAAAGCTAAAATTCAGGAAAATGAAATCAATCCTATTACAGAGACTGTCTAAAGATTAGCAATACACTATCTGGTATGTTTAAGGAGGCAGTAACAATATACACAGCTAATTTTTTTGTTCATTACTACCTAAAAATTTTGCACCTTAGGTTCACCTTAAATGTTCACACTTAATATTTTAAACCAACACAGTTTGTTTTAAAATGAGCCCCTGCATTCTCTAAATATAGCTCAGTGAGATGCAAACCTCACTAACTTTCTAAACCTGCATATTTAAATAATACCACATTTTTTTCATTCTTTATTACTTCCTCTTCATATTTATTTCTCTCCTAACTAAAAATCAAAATACTCAGTAAATTTGAGGAAGCTAAATATAAAATGACCCAGTCTCAAGAAACATTAACCAAAATGGGGGAAAAGTGGTTTGTGTCATTACACAAGACCACAAAACAGATTTTATTTATACATACAGACCAAATTTTTTTTTCAAACTCATGGTCCCATGTTAACTTCTCAGTAATTAATCATCCCTTCTAAAAGGACTGTAACTGATTGAATGGGATATGTATGCAATCTTTAATACTTTTATAAAATTTATATGCATAACCTAAGTTAAGGAAAATTCATCTCAAATTATAATGCCACATGGCCGTTTCCTTCTAATAGGACTATTTACCATTAATAATGGCTCACCGATGCCATAGTAAGCAAAGCATGTGCAGATCTGATAGAAAATAATTCATGATTCATTAGATGTCAGTCATAAAATACATCTTTTAGTCTCTCCTTACAGAAATGACTTCTGCCTAACTAAATGCTTTAAGCAAAAGATCTGAGGTTACTATTCAAGGTATGGCTATTCTGGATATTTTTCCCAATAAAAGTAAAGTGCAAACCTTTTTTAGCATCTTGTTCTGTTTGTGGAAGAACTCTACTTTGATGTCACCACACACAGGCAACGGCTGAGGGAACTCAAAGTACATGAACTTGTCTTCCCGTCGTGTGGGTCCTGAATTGGAGGAATATATCTTCACCTTTAGCTGGCAGACCACAAACTGAGGATCTGCATGGTCAAATACATAACTAGTATCACTTCACAGGAAATACCTTTAACTGTCAAACTGTCAAAAGCTATTTTGATGATTAATATCAGCAATATACACAAAGTAGTAATTCTGCATCTTTAACCCCTGATCTAAAACAAATCAGTGGATAGAAAATAATAAATAGATAGCTAAATAAATAAATAAATACATAAATAAAACAAATCAGCAGAAATAAACTAGGGCAAAGTAAAATCAATACAAGGTTTCCCCTAATTTGAGCCTTCAACATAAGGTTCTATTACTGGTATTAAAGTCAATTCCATTTCATAAACAGTAAGTATCAAGACTGGACTTCTAGCACTGTACAGTAATATCAAAATTTCAACATTACAATAAATGAACTGCATAAAAAGTAACTTTTAAAACAAGTATTTGCTGCAGTATTTTAAAGTCTCTACCACGGAATAAAAACCACAAAATACCAATCATTACACATTCACAAGAAGAGAATATAATCTATAACAAAGTTATAATATATTCCATAAGCACAAGTTTCAATATTTATAAAAATTTAAACCATAATTAATTTTACTTATAACTCATATTTTATTTTTAAAGGTATATAAAGCCACCACCACAAGAAACAGGAGGAAAGAGATTTGAAATGTCTGCAAAGAAATGCAACAGACATCAAGTACAAATTACAGCACAACCCCCCTTTCTCCAAAACACACTCCATTTTCATTAACAAGTACTTTGGCTTTGACCCATGTGTGTTTTAAAATAACTGGTAAAATATGACCTCTCAAGATGTATCATGCTTATATTAGCAACGCAACTAAAAGGCAGGTAAGTGTGAACAGGCAAGGATTATGTTTTTTATTTTTAAAAATCTACACATAAATACATTTATACCTAATGACATTAATGACAGAATTTAAAGTCATGAACATTAAGATCCTAGGACTTTAAAAATTTTGTTACCTAAATAATTTGACAAAGTATAATTTATTTGTAGTACACCAAGTTCAAAAACAAGAGTTCATTAGAAAAAAAAGTAATTAACCTGAGGAGGTAAGAAGTGGGTCTTGAAGTTTCAAAACATACCAAGATAATCAAGAAATAAAAACATAAGCTTGCATAAAGTGCATGAGAAATACACATATATAGACATAAAGTTCTCAGCACCAAAAGGCATCATCCTTAAAGACAAAAAAAAGAAGTATCACATTCTTTACCAATGTGACCAACAACTGAGGACAAGGCAAAAAGCTTATTCAGGCTAAAATTTTCCAGTGTAATAAACACCTGCTGGCTCATCTATATAATACCTAAAGAGGTATCATCAATCACATAATAAATAGTAGGCTTCATAAAAGCATGAGGGATTATTCCAATATAGATTCGTGAGACATTTATCATGAGAAAAAGGAACTCTAAAAAAGGGAAACATTACACCAACAACCTGTCAATAATTTTCACTTCCTTGACTAAAGATTCAAAGTACAAGGAGCTATTTTACAAGACTTTATTTGATACTGAAAATTTCACTGGGAAGCCTAGTTTGAAGAAGCAAATAAACAAGGTATGATTTCAAAGCTGTGATAAAAATCAACCAGGAGGGAAATGCCTTGCAATCTTATTAATTCAAACTCCACTAATTCAGAATCTGATAATCCTAATCTTAAGACTTTAAAAAGCAAATTAACTGTGTAAGCCAGATTTCAATTAAACTACATCTAAAATGTGTACCTTCAAGAACTTTAGAATTATATATACAATTGATATTCTAATTAGAAATTAATTTTTTGAGGAAATATCTAAGCAACACTAAGCTAAAACATTTTAATAAAAATAAGTAGAAAATATTTCTTCAAATCACTAAAGAAAATAATTTTCTTTACAGTATGAATTTCACATTTTAGATAGATAAGACCAAACTTAACAGTTGTCCAACATTAGTATGGTTCTTTTGACTTCTAAGACACAACTCTGAGATATACATCTTTGATATGATCGACTGTCTTCTAAAAAGAAGAAATGAAGAGGCTGATACGTAGCAGACAAAAATTACAATTAAATTTTCTTGGATATATGCATATTGATATAGTATGAGAGAAAAATCACACTGGTCATCTTTTATTAACTTTTTCAACCCTTTTAGATACACAGAAGATAGTAACCTTTCCTTTATTTAGAAATATTAAGACAATACTCAAATAAGAAAAAGGCTGTTAACCCCTGACAACTTTGCAGAAGATACTTTATTTTCACATGGTCTGTTTTCTTCACTGATTCCTCTTCCTCCTCCTGAACCCACACTGTTACAAATCCTATTTGTCTCAGCCCTCACCCTGTTTTCTTCTGAACCTTCCCATCTTCTAGCCCCACGCCAAATTTACATGAAAGGCTTAACTGCTATGTCTCTTTCCTAATGCTTCTCAAAATATCAGGTATATCTCTCACCTAAGTTCGAATCCATACTTTCAAGTACCCACTAAATATCTTCATGTAAATAGCTCACCTTTACCTGATTTACAACATGTTTAAAACCAAAATATCAACATTCATGTCTCCAAGTCTCAGTTAGATTCCCTTTTCTGTGAATTATTCACCTGACCAGAATAAAAACTTCGACAAAATATTTAGATATAAATGGCAAAAGAAAAACTAATCACATCTCATTTGATTGCCCAAGCAAAGCACATCTGGCTTAAAGCAAGTCACATAACTGCTTTCCTTTCCACCATTTTTCTCCCTCTTGCAATCACTACCTTCTACAAAACTATACCTAAATACAGCTTATTAAGCCTCTAGTAGGACCACTGACACCATAGTATTTATCAAATCAAGTCCGATATGCCCATTTGGAGTCCTCCAACAGTCAGCCACACATTCCGTTCCTAGTCTATTCTCCATCTCTATATTTCTTGTCCAGCTCATTTCCTTCTGCTGTGCTTCAATTCAAGCTATTTCCTATTGCCTGTAATACTTTCTTTGGTTTTTAAGGCCAATCTAAACTGTATGCTTTCTCAAATGTTCAATAAAGAGCTGGACTTCCTTCATGAAACTATCTGACAATCCCCGCAAACTTGATTTTTCTAAATATACCATTTATGATTTATACATACAACCTCCCATTAGTTATATATTACTTACACTACAGCTTTACTACATAGTATTAAATCATAGTGCATAAACAGAGAACTAGCAAATTGGTAAAGATTTCAGTAGTAAGTTGAGAAGTTTAAATGTAATACACTGAGAGATCCAACACACATACACACACACACACACACACCCCATTTAAATGTAGAGCAGAACTGACAGATGTTTGCTAGAGAGACCAATGTGAAAAAAAAATTATAGTAGATAAGATTATTGAATTGAATGTTCTCTCTCCCTTATTATTTCTCTAATATTTTATACCTTACCATTTGGCTCTTACAGTGATATCTAATACTATAGGAAGAGCATGAGCTTTTTTATTTTCTTCCTTTTCCCTTCTCCACTATACATCTAAAGTTCCTGTGCCAATCATCTCTGATAGCCTAGTACCTTGTACTCTGGAGTTTTAAAAATTGTACTGAGATGACAAAAGCATCAGTGAGGTCTCTTAGAAGCCTTTCATATGCTGTGTTAATAGATCTGTGGTCTCTGATAAAGTTATTTGCCCTAAGAATACAGAAAAGATTTAATGAAGGTGATCATACCTACCTGACAAAGATAAACAACATCAAGAAATTAATTCCCTAGGTATAAATTAAGGTCTGAAAAATTTTAATTACATAAATACTGTCAAGAAGCAAACTTTAAGCTAAAAACTGAAACTATCAACAAATTGCAGAATATCACTGAAATATTATTAGAGGTATTAGAAAAAGTAATACAGTAGTATCTTATCTAGAAACTACAAAATTGTATTCTGAATAAATAAAACACAGTTCTTAAACATGAAAACATGACTGATCACTTCCAAGGTAGAAACTAATATAAAAAACTCTGTAACAGAAAAAAGCAGCAACAGTCTGGTCTTTTACAGGGCTGAACAATACTTCCTTCCATGTGTTCTCCCTTGACTACCTGCTTTGGGTCAAAGTATTAAGGTTCCTATCAGTTTAGCTAAGAACACTGGCGAATGGCAGAGAAGCAGAACGGGACCAGGGTGACTGAGGTAGGCTTACAGACGTTAGGGTAAGAGAGAAATAAATTAGAGACAGACATCAATGACATGATCCTTATTTAGTACTTTTCTAGGAAGTTTCAGATTTCAAAATATCTTCATATTGTTGATGAGCAAAGACAAAGAGAGGTAGATGATGTGCCCTCGGTTATATAGCACATTAAGGACAAATCTAGCACTGGAACTCCGATCTAAATCCAGGTTTTCTCTAATAATCCACACACACTGAATCTACCCTATTCATTCAATATACTTCAGCTTGTTGCCATCTCTTATCATCGTTTTCTTTTTCTTTTTCTTGTCCCTATCACCATTACTATTAATATCTAGTCTTACTAAGATATCAAGGAATTGGTCCTTGCCCTAACACCAGTAAAGGGATGAATCCCAATGCCACTCTCATGCTGACGGGACAGGTTATTTTAGTCATCTAGTCAGAATATAGGCTGCATTTGGTAGCTACAGCACAGAATATTCCTTTCATAAATATAATTTGGCTTCAAAGACATTAAAACCCAATGGTCTTAGCTTCCACAGCCCAATGTGCTGAACAACTGAGCTAATTAATTAGTTTGGATACTTAAGAAATATACAAACCTGCATAAATTTTAAGTGTGGTAAATTTCTTTTTAGACTTTTATATAAACTTCTAGCTATGTTAAGAAAAGTGTTCCAGTACATCAAAGGATGAGAATTTAGAGCACTTACTGCAAGTTCCGCCACTGAACATTGGAATAGTTTCAAACATCATCTTGTGAAACAACAATGCCACTGGTCTATAATCCAGATGATTCTTTAACAGGTAGCTATAATAATATACATAGCGCCTCTGACTGGGAATAGTTACTCCCTGGTGGACAGAAAAAAAAAAGAAAAGCCAAATTCAAAAGAAAAGTTCCATTATAGTTATTTCACTAAATCGTTATGGTAACTGGGTTGTATCCATTGAAGAACATATATACATTAGAAATTTGACCTTAAATGATTTAATACTTAAATCCAGCTCAGTAATAGAGTAAATCAAAGCAACATCAATATAAAGGAAACATCAGAATAACTTTTCTCCCTTAAAATACAATTATCATAACACCCCCATCTATTCAATTGTCACAACAATCTCTGACCCATGTACCCAATAAGCAAAGGCCACTGCATATCCAAAATAACTGTCAAAGGCCTCTGCTCTACAGCTGTGCTCTTTACACGTAGGGTTCCCCACAAGCATGTATAGATTCTTATTCAACACAGAATTCCTCAAAAACTTGGATACCTATTTTCCAGGCAAAAGCATATCAGAATCAGCAAGTCAGATAAAGGCTTATTGCCTTTAGGAGGCAGAAATAGCAGCAGCAAAAAGTGATGCTGGCTTTAGAACCCAACAAAAACAAGAGTATGCAGTTGACATAAATGTATGCAATAGTTTGACAACAAAGGTACTTAGAGATGTCCCTGAGCTACATACACCTCTTTGCATGTAACCAGGGAAATACATAATGTTTTAGAAAAGTTAAGTATTACAGTGCTAAAAATATATACAATTCATGTGGTGTTTAAATGGGGACCCTGACTTATCTCAAAAAAAAAAAAAATCTACTGTGTGCAGCAATGCACTCACTAATGATGCTGAATAAGTGAGGTATTAGGGAACTTACCTAAGGTTTCTTTTCCTATTACATGATATGACTTCAGAATAATTTAAGCATTTAACTTAGAATTTGCAATATTTCTCTTTTAGATGTTATATTGGCATATAAATATGCCAATGTGTTAGAAACTCTGGACATAAAAACTTTTCTTTCCCCAATGAAAAGTAGAAAGTACATTTACGTGAATTTAAAGAAAAGTATGTTGAATGGCAGGTATATAGGTATTTGTTTCAGTATTCTTGGTTCTTTTTTAAAGGTCAGCATGATTTTATTACAATTTTAAAAATACATAAAATGCCAAATAATGGATAAAAGCCATTTCATGGGCTTCCCTGGTGGCGCAGTGGTTGAGAGTCCGCCTGCCGATGCAGGGGACACGGGTTCATGCCCCAGTCCGGGAGGATCCCGCATGCCATGGAGCGGCTGGGCCTGTGAGCCATGGTCGCTGGGCCTGCGCGTCCGGAGCCTGTGCTCCGCAACGGGAGAGGCCACAGCAGTGAGAGGCCCGCGTACCGCAAAAAAAAAAAAAAAAGCCATTTCAAATCAGGACTAATGATCTAAGATTTTGGCTATAGTACAAAAATCATATAATCAGAAGACTTGGATTTGAATGTTGACAGTCAAAACACAAACTTTGTTTCTGCAGGAAAATGAAGACAATACCATCTTCACAGGATTCTCATGAGGATTAAACACTAAACGCAATTAGACAAAAGCATGCTAAAACAACAGAATGTTACAGAAATCTGAATCAGCAGTTTGAGAAATTCTACCTACATTTAAGGTATAATTTTGGAATTGCTGGATTTTTAGTTCTACATATTTTCTTAAAGAAATGGCAATAAAACAGTGTTGCTTTGAATAGCTGCTACAAACACTAATGCTAAAAATTATCATTAAAGTTTAAAAAGTGTTTAAACTTAAAATTATTTTTTATACATTATTTAATGCCATTTCAGCAAAAAAACTTATTCATATGTATCAAGATAAAATACAGAACTGCAAAGCAGGTTGGGGGAAACAGCAGACAGAAGATGGGTGGGTGGGAGGGAATCTTTTTTGAACCATGTGTATTTATAATCTAGTCTAAAAATTAAAATTAAATAAGATTTTAAAAATTAAATCAATGGAAGTCTACTAGACAACCAAGCTGTCAAGTTATTTATTGGGGTTTAGTGGAATGATAGATGATATTTTTTCTCTTTATCTCCATTCTTGGTGTAAGTTTGCATGAAATAATTAAAAGGTTGTCAAAGCTTTAATTTTACTCAAGTAGCAAGTGACTGGTAGCGTATCTATAATGCAAGTGTTTATACACCCAGTTAATCCTTAACAGAAAGGCAAATGTGTAGAGAAACAGTGTTATGAATCTGTAAGTTCTCACCAGCAGATTAATAATTAATGTGTAAATACAAGATGAATCAAAATTATTGACACAATTCAAAGAAAAATGGTGAAAAACATAATTGTAAATTTATTATTTTACTATCAAGTTACGCATAATTAGTCTTCTGTACCTTAACTTTGCAATCCTTACCTACCTGTTAGCTTACCGGCACCTCAAATCCAATGTGTCCAAATTAACAGAAGTTAAAAAGTTGGGGAGAAATCAAAAGCTTTACAGACAAGCAAAAGCTGAAAGAATTCAGCACCACCAAGCCAGTTTTACAGTTTTATATTAGATCTTGATATCTGGTAATGAATAAACTCTTGTTTTGTTTTCCTTAAAAAAAAAAAAGTTTGGAAGGCCCAAATGTGTATGGACCATAGCCCTTAATGTGTTGTCCTCACGCTGTTCTCATCTCTTACCGCCATCATGCACACTTACTAAAATTTAATTAACAATACAATGTATTGTACAGAATACACTATAACCTAGGATTCGAAATAAAATGAGTAAAACTTCCACACTAAGTTGACAATGTGATTTGTAACACTTCAAATATCATATTTCCTGAATGCATACACTGAAAACAATGATTCATGTGCATGTTTTACATACAGCATCTTGAATATTAAGATTAAATTTAAATATATATCTTTTTAAAAATCTGAGAAATGAACTTTTTACTGATTTTCAAAAATTCTACATATCTGAAAAGAGAGCTGACCTTTAAAGCTCTTGAAGATTAAAAATTACTACATTTTCAAATTTTCCATTACTTCAGTTAAATTAAGACTAATAAAAATCAATTCTATTCTTGAATCAAGAATTTTTAAGCTAAACTGATCTATAACTATATCCCCCAAATATAGTTCTATTCTCTACCAGTAATTATTCTCCTTTTCCTACTCTGTGAAGAAAAATACTTACATTCTTAACTTTTTTCCTGAAGTAAAACTTTCAAAACGTTCTAATTTTAGCTAAACTTAGCATTCTTCAGATTGACTTAGCATCATGTTCCTGGCCATCTTCTCAAAAGGCAGCCATTGCTTCTTCAATTCCCTTATATTCACAGACCAGGAGGATATTTGGTGTTCCTCCCACTATTCCTTCCAATCCACTTTTCCACTGTCTTTACTCAGTCTCACCTATTCCAAATCTATATCATTCAATAACTCTTCTGTTATGCACTTATTAACACTTGACTATAATGATTTCAGCATTTTTTTTTTTTTTTTTTTTTTTGCGGTACACGGGCCTCTCACTGTTGTGGCCTCTTCCATTGCGGAGCACAAGCTCCGGAGGCACAGGCTCCGCAGGCGCAGGCTCATCGGCCATGGCTCACGGGCCCAGCCGCTCCGCGGCAAGTGGGGTCTTCCCAGCCGCTCCGCGGCAAGTGGGGTCTTCCCAGACCGGGGCACGAACCTGTGTCCCCTGCATCAGCAGGTGGACTCTCAACCATTGCGCCACCAGGGAAGCCCTGATTTCAGCATTTTAAAACCTCTCTTTCTGTCCTGTCCCAAATATCATCCTCAAAGAACTAAGTTCCCATTTTACTGGGAACCCTGAGGTCACCCGATGTGAGCGCCCTCAAAATTATTTTCTCGTCTTAAAATCTTTTTAGGGGCTTCCCTGGTGGCGTAGTGGTTGAGAGTCTGCCTGCTAATCAGGGGACACGGGTTCGAGCCCTGGTCTGGGAAGATCCCACATGCCGCGTAGCGACTAGGCCCGTGAGCCACAACTACTGAGCCTGCGCATCTGGAGCCTGTGCTCCGCAACAAGAGAGGCCGCCATAGTGAGAGGCCCGCGCACCGCGATGAAGAATGGCCCCCGCTTGCCACAACTAGAGAAAGCCCTCGCACAGAAACGAAGACCCAATACAGCAAAAATAAAATAAATTAATTAATAAACTCCTACCCCCAACATCTTAAAAAAAAAAAATCTTTTTAGTCCGATATTTTCTAACAGTGTCTCTTCATGTTCACATTGGTTCCATTTTTGCAAGTGTTCTATTAATTTTCTCCTCTCTGGCTTTTGCCTTTATTCTCTCCACCTGTCTCCTCCTAATGAAAAAGCTCAGGTAACACTCATCCTTTATCCAAAACAAGCAAACAATTCTAAGACCAAAGACCCACACTCTCCCCAAAATCTTGTATCTCTTTCAAACTATCATCTTCTCTCTATATATAAACTCTTGAGAAGCCTCTACTCCTTAACTCTTGGAAATCTGTTATTATGAGGCCGATTTCTTAATGGTCATTAGTTCTTAATGGTCATTAATGGTCATTTCCTACTGTTTTCTTATTATCATTGTGGCTCATTTTTTAGCTGCCATTTTGAAAACTCCCTGTTCCTTCCATAGGATACACTCTCTAAAGGTTTTCTCCTGGGACTTCCCTGGAGATCCAGTGGTTAAGACTCCCCGCTTCCAATGCAGGGGGCGAGGGTTCAATCCCTGGTCAGGGAGCTAAGATCCCACATGTGGTGCGGTGTGGCCAAAAACAATAAAATAAAATAAATAAAATAAAATAAAATATTTTTTAAAATAATAAAGGTTTTCTCCTATCCTTACCAGCTATCTCTTCTCTTCTTGTCCCTAAATGCAGGTATATCTCAAAAAATTGATCTCAGCTATTCCCTCTTTATATCAATCCTATCTACTCCGCTGGTTTAATTATGTCTTACACATTAACTCCAAAACCTGTGTCTCTCAATATGACTTTGTTCCCAACTCCCAGTCCAGAATTTCCTACACTTGGACATTTCTAGCTGGAAATCTCAGAAACACTTAAAACACAACATATCCCAGAACTGAAGCTT